AGTTGGCTGCATACAAATTGAGGGAAGTTGCTCAAGTGTGGTACACTTAACGGAAAGACAATATGTTGGTTGATTCGGGTCCTATTGAGTATGAAGAGATTAAGGAAGTCTTATTAGGAAAGTACTTTCCCCGTGAGAAGATGGAGGTTAAAGTTAAGGATTTTATAATCCTTAGGAAAGGTAACATGAGTGTGGAGAAGTATTCTTTGAAATTTACCCTATTGTCTAAGCATTCCCAATCCTTGGTGTCTAACCTTAGGGATGAGATGAGTAGGTTTGTGACCGGTGTTGATGACTATGTGAAAGAAGAATGTCATACAACCATGCTCCATAATTACATGTACTTATCTATGCTTATAATGTATGCTCAGTCCATTGAAGAGTCCAAGTTTAGAAGGATCACTAGGAATTTGAAGAGGATTAGATTCAAGGAGCAAAACCAACCTAGTTTTAAGAAGAGGTCTTGAAATCAAGATGGGTCTAGTGCTTCTAAGTTCAAGTATAAGACAGGCGGTGGTTCTCAAAGTGTTAAGCCTACTTGTTCTACTTGTACGAAAAAAAGCATTGGGAAGAGTCTAGCTGGTACTAATGGGTTCTTTGTTTGTGGGTAAGAATGATCATAAACTAAGAGAATGTCCTTCTATTGCGGCTAGAAGAAGAGAGGCCAAGCTAGTTACTCCTAATGCTCCAGATGTTGGTGCACCAAAGAGAAATTGTTTCTATTACCTCTAAGCTAAAGAAAATTCGTATGAGGATGCATTAAATTATAATTTTCTCTCTTAAGTTGTGATGGGTTCCTTCTGAGAAGGGGAGTATGGTGAATAGTTAGGTCGTGGATTGTTATCTCTTCTCTTCTATTCTCTATAAGCTTAAGGGTTAGAACTTTATAGTAGCATTGCGCATGTGTCTTGGAGTCTAAGTGAAAATGAATTTTATTGATTTCTTTGCATTATGCATATTTTCATGAGGTTATGTTTATATGGTGAATTGAGCTGAAATGATTTTGTCTCTCCTATTGTCGTGTCTCTATAGTTAATTGCTTAAGAATTGTATGAGTAAAATATGAGCATGCTTTACTGTGAACTTTTTGAAGATGTGCATAATTGTGCTTCATGAGATATTGGCATTCATGTTCAAGAAAGTTTTGTAATGGGTATGGGAATATATGGAGGAGGAAGTTCCTTCTATGTGAAATGAGAAAATGTAGAGTCTTATTGCATGATAAGTTTTAGAGTTTGTTCCTACTTTCTTGTTGTCTTTTGAGTCTCTTGATTATATGGAGTTGGTGTTCTTCCTAATTTAGTTTATACTGTTTTTGTATGGTTGTGAGCTTAGTCTTGAGTGTCTATTTCTTAAAGGTGTTAGAAAGTGTTTAAGTGTCATTCGAGGATGAGTGTTGTTCTATATGGATGAGAATGTAACGACACTCATAATGAACTAGGTTGAACTAGAGCTTCACTAGTGTTTTAAGGAATTCTAACAAGCTTAATCAATGTGTATATGAGTTTTGAAGTAAGCCCGGTTGGGTTTGAAGTCAAACGTTAAGAAACGACCAAGACGTTCGAAGACTAGTCATCTATGTGCTTCGATGTGTCTATGTGGTATGTTGTTTTATGACGTGGTTGAATGATTTTAGTGACTCTATGTCAAGGCACGTGTTAGTCTCCAGTCTAAAGTACCCTAATTTATATTGGTTGAAGGTGCTTGTCAAGGATCCTAGTCAAAAGTGAAAAGCCTTAACCACACAATCAAGTCTGGCCCAAGTTGGCAGCTCACTGCTTCAAAGTTCACGGACCACTTTACGGCAAGTTGACTTGACCACAGTCCATCAAGGAAGTCGTGGAAATGACTTTTGACTTCTTACAGGCTTATCAAGGAAAGTTTGCCACAATCCCAAGGACCGCGGCCCATCAACTTAGCCGTGAACCACTCTCACGGCCCGTGAAGGTAGGCGTGGTCCCCAAGCGGGCTGCCTTAAATTGGGGAATTTGAGTCATTGGGTTTAATTGTTTATTAAGTGGGGTTATTTTTAAAAGGGTTATATCATTAATAAAAATAGTTTTAAGTCTTACAAATTTCCTTTAGCTCATTATTTCAAAAACCCCAAAAGTGTCTCTAGTAAATTCCTACATCGTTGAACCTTCAAGATTCAAGAAAGAGGACCAACTTCTCAAGGTTTTCAACCTAATATCATGGATAAATTCTAATTAAGGTAAGATTTTTATCCTTGATTATTATCTCATTCAAGGAGCTAGTTTCAAATGATTTCAAAAACCCTCAAACTCTATTTTCAATTCTAACCATGAGTTCTTACATAAAAAGGTATAAGACAATGCTTCATGATATAATTGATTTTAATTGATGATTTATGATCAAAACGTCCATCAACCCATAATTCCTTGAATTCTTAATATAGCTCTAAAATGGGTATGTTAATTATGGCTTAATAGAGTTGAGTTCTTTTATAGATTTTTATGGTATATTGAATTATTTGTAGATCATCATAGAATTTCTTATAAGCTGCTTTATTTTGACGATATCTATATTGTATGTTGTTGGGTCATTGGTATGGTTTGATTGTTGACTTAGAATTGTGTATATGGCTATTGGTAAGAGACTTTGTGAAGTGAATTGATTGAAAACGCTAAGGAGTGGTTATGTTGATGATGGAAAGATGGTGATTTGACCAATTCTTCTAGCTAGTATAGATTTGATATTTGATTGTATTGATTGGTATGTCCACTCATGGGGCGGTGTTTATGTGTGGTAACTGGGATGAACATGTCCTTGTTAGCATTCTTATGTGAATTATGTTATAATCATTTATATATCGTATAGATGATCAATGTGTAGGATTATATGGCATTTGCGTATATGTGAGTATGTTAGACTATGATGATGTCTCTATGTGTTGATAGGGTATCTTGTTAGGTAGAATTATTTGTCCCTATATGGTACTTAAGTATTATTGAATAAGTGATATGATTGTGTGTGTGTCTTTATTGGTTGACTTATTTCCCTCTACTTGATACATGAAAGTATGTGAATATGAACTCTTGACTTAGTAGGCTTAAGCACCTTTGCCATATAAGGGTATGAATGAATTTTGAATGAAGGTCTAGGATTGGTAGACCTAAGATTGTGCTGTTCTAAGGATGACTAACATAGGACCTTGAAATGAAAAAAAGGTCAAGAACATAGAACCTTGAATATAAAAAGAAGGTTAATATAAACCTTGAAGTGAAACACCAGAAAAGTATCCTTCTTTAGTGGAATAATGGACTTAGGGATAGGGTGGATAGAATGGCATGTAACCCTCTAAAATGAATTCATAAGAGCTATCCTTACAGACCTTGGGTGGAAGCCCTAGTGGACCCATCATTGGTAGGATTATTATGATTAGGTAAGACTAAGAAATGGTACTTTCTACTATGTCTTTACGTGAATGAACTTACTCTATGAGAATTAAGACAAAGCACCGATGAATATGTTTATGGTAGTGGCTCTACTTAAGATGATACTAGAGTACAAATAAATCCTTGATATTCTTTAACCATGTATCAACATGGGATGTGTCCTAGTTCTACCCTTGGCAAGTAGAATACCCTCCTCAAAGTAGGGTAGACTGCGGATTCCATACCTAGCTAGTGTTGTCCATGTCGGTTATTTCCTATTCTCATCATGTGGGATGCATTCTAGTGTTGGAGAAGTTCTACAATGTGCAGGTTGTGGAATGAGAGACTACCTATACATGGCACGAGTAGGCTTAGAATATTCAAGGATGAGGTTAGGCCATTATGTGAATGTACTGTAATTCTTTAATTACTCTTAAATGGATTAATGAGTATTGTTGACTAATTAAGCTATGATGAATATAAAGGTTCTTACCTTGATCACTTTGATGTTTTGCTAGGTAGGATTGAAGAAGGTGTATGGGCGGTCACTTCATGTTTTACTTAGGTTAATCTTAGAGTATCTTTAGGTGGAGAGTCTAACTGATGAAAAGGGATTACTTAATGAATATTAAACTATTTATTACTATAATGTATGAATAATCTTACTTTGGGTAGTCTTAAGGATTTCTTAAGTGCGCTTGAAGAGGGTCTATGGGCAGTTTCTCATGTCTAACTTAAGTAAATCTTAGGATAACTCTTAGTAGAGAGTTTAATGCATGTGCGTACGATAAATGGTAATGATTACCTCTTATGGTCTACTTGGATATGTCTTCTATGTGTATGTTTTGTTGAAAATTGTTCTTTTACTAATGTTTTGAGATTTACATCAAAAGATCATAAAAGGCATGTTATAAAGTAAATGTACGTGTTAGCATGGTTTTATTGCATGTCACCTACTTAGTATATTCTATATGGTAATTCATATGTGGTTTTGTTTCTATATGTGTAGGTGGAAAGTGAGGAGTCTCTTGGAAGTGAATCTTGGGAATATTATCATCTCAAGAAATCTTGGTATGTCCTCATATGATGAGGACATAGGAATGTTTAGTTTTCCTTTTCAATAGATATTTCAATAGACTTTAGTATTTCCTTTTTTGATGTATAGGTTGTGACCCTAAGATATTGATAATATGAATATATTATTTCCTTTTGTTTATGTATAGGTCGTGACCATAAGATATTGATAATATGAATATATTATTTCCTTTTGTTTATGTATAGGTCGTGCCCATAAGATATTGATAATATATATATATATATATATGCGATTAATGATGTATAACGACTTCTATAAGACCTTCGAGAGGTCGAGTACGCCACGTAACGACTTAGAGGGATAACATATCTTTTAGGGATACTCCAGGTCATTATACTCCAAAAGGGTGTTTGATGGTTCATCATAATTCTATGTCATCTTTAGTGGTTGAGGTTAAGTGTATGAGACATCTTGATCCTCTATTATAGGACTTGAAGGAATCAGTCCTTAGTAAGTTTAATTAGTTATTTTCTAAAGGGGGGATGGTGTACTTAGGTACCAATGTAGGTTGTGTATGCAGGATGTAGATGACTTGAAAATTTTTTTTGGAAGAGGCTCATGGTTCCCGATATTCCATTAATCTGGGTTACACCAACATGTATCGTGGTCTATTGGTGGAACGGATTGAAGAAGGATATAGCAGAGTTTGTGAACCTTAATGTCAAAAGTTCAAGGATGAACGTCAATGACAAGGAGGTTTAACTCAATAAATAACTATCCTTACTTGGAAATGGGAAGCTGTCATAATGATACCGTTGCGGGTTTGCTTCGCACCTAGAGGCAAAATGACTAAATGTGGGCTATAATGGATAGATTAAAAAATCTGCCCATTTTATCCCTGTCAAAATCACTTATTCGGCGAATGAGTATGATAAATTGTATCTTAATGATATTGTGAGTTTTCATGGGGTTCCCTTCTCTATCATCTCGGATAGGAGTCTAAAATTCACTTCAAGGTTTTTGAAAGCTTTCCAAAGTGCACGAGATACCAAGGTGAAACTTAGTACCGCATTTCATCCACAAACGGATGGTTTGGCGGAACAACCATCTAAACTCAAAAAGACATGTTGAGGGCAGGTGTCTTGACTTCAAGGTTAATTGGGATTACCGTCTACCATTTATTGAATTTGCCTATAATAATAGTTATTATTCGAGTATTTCCATGAAACCCTTTGAGGCCTTTTATGGGAGGAGATGTAGATTTCCAATCGGGTGATTTTAGGTAGGTGAGTTTCCTCTAATATGTCCAGAATCAATTTATGAGGTTGTGCAGAAAGTACGACATATAATGGATTGTTTGAAGACATCCCAAAGTCGGAAAAACACTTATGCCAACAATAAGAAGAGGGACAAGGGACCTTGAGTTTATGGTAGGTGACTTGGTTTAATTGAAGATATCACCTATGAAAGGGGTGATGAGGTTTGGGATTAAAGGGAAATTTAGTCTGTTATGTGGGGCCATATGAGGTTTTAAAATGCATCGGAAGTGTTGCCTATGAGTTGAAGTTATCTATTTAGTTGGCTCCGGTCCATCCAGTTTTCCATGTGTCCATGTTCAAAAGGTTCATAGGTGATTTGGTTTCTATTCTTCCACTAGAAGTCTACTTGAGAGGCCGAGGCTGACATTATTTCTCGATATCCTCTAGTCAAGGTTGAGGTTAGTAGTCTCTCTTAATTTGCTCTATGAAGGGTCTTAAGTATATTGTGAATTTTTATGATTTCCTTTATTATGCATGTTCTTTTGAAAATCCATGTTTCATATATTCCTTGAGTTATGTGTTTTTCGTACTTAATGATACTTTACTACATGTTTGGCATAGTGAGTTATGTGATATTTCTTGTGAAATTGTTGGTGTGTGAGATGATGTATCACTCTTGTTGCATATGTTGAGCTATATGAAAAATAGAAGGACATTCCTCCTTTAGAAAATGTGAAATAATGAAATATTTGAATTTTTGGTAGTTGATGTACTTCCTACCTCATTGTGATGCTTTGTTTTGTTTAAAATGGAGTGAATGTTTCATCCTTTTACATTTGAATCATTATTATATGTCATGTGTTGGTTGGGCTGCAGGTCTTGAGTCTTAACTTCAAAAAGACGTTAAAGTATCATTATATGATGAAGGTTCCCCCGGGGGGTGGGGGGAAAGGATATTGTTATGACTACGAATTCCATGACCTAAACTACAGCCTCACTTAATGAAAAATGCTTTAAAACAATATTTCTAGGCCTAAACAAAGGTAATTAACTGGATTAGGAAGTATTAGAGTCTAGATGTCAAGAAACGACCATAACGTAAGAAGACTAGTCAAAGTGATCTAGTGTGACTTTAGGTCTTTGAATGGTGTAAAGACTCGTACGAGGGTAAAATCATGTAATAAGACTTTGAATGTACTGTTATTATGTGTATAAAGTCAAAACGTCATGATACGACTTCCCAAGGACTACCCTAAGGGTCCATGAAGAGGACCTAACCTTTGACCTTAAATAATATCAAAAAGCAATGTGGAACACGGAAGGGGAACGACAAGCGGTAGATGGGCTTACGCCCCGTAGATGGTTCTCATTGGTCTATAGATAGAATCCTGCCCCTTGAGCCCCCAAAAGGGACTCTCTGTCGCAAACCACGTTTTACCAATACAATATGTGGTTAGGATGACGGGGCGTCAATGGGATCTCCTCGATTAAGCCCCAGCCTCATTGCCTCCATACATCTTAAGTTGGTGTGGTAAGGTAATTGGTTAATTAATTTATTAATTGATGGGAATTTTATAATTTGTTATTTTATGGGTATTTAAATATCCTGAGTCATTAAACTAACCTAACACCCCATGATTCCCTAAACCCAAATACCCTCATCTCTCTCTAGTTTCTCTCACTACTCCAAAGATCCCCATTAAAGAAAAATATCAAGTTCTCTAACCTTCAACAATTTTCAAGTATTCTCAAGGTATGGAGGTTATTCACTCTTGGTACTCCTTTGCCCAAGAGGTTCTCCAAAGTTTGGTTTTCAATATTCGTCAATAAGCTTGTTTTCATCCAAATTCGTGGGTCTTCTTCCTAAATCAAATGTTTAGTATTAATTATATTATTACTAATGAATTATGCATGTTTATGTGTGGATTGGTTAACTACCTTAGGATTTGACCTATTTCTTTAAAAAGGCTTATGAATACCCTTCTTCTCCTAATCCTAACTTCTGAATTATGTTGGTTTATGATTAAGGGAGATGAAATTAAATGTATTCTTGTATACTTTACAATTATATGATGATTATGATCCAATTGTTTGGTAAAGATCATTGAATTGGGGTTAAATCTTGAAAGAGCTTTTCCTTGAGGATCATGGTAAGATCTTCAAGTTCATGACTACTTTATTGCAATAATGTTGGTCTATTCATGATCTTGTTATGCATTTGAAGTATTGATATGTGAGTATGATAGGAAGATGATGAGATTGTGAATGTGATAGCACAATATGAATGCGATGAATTATGAGATGATGATAGGTTTATTATTATGAGAGATTATAGGTTATGCAACGGTGCATCTATTTAGTATGTTTATGATAATTATATTCTCACATAATTTTAGGTTGTGACTAATTTAAGGATTTTATCATCGTAGAACTTAAGAGCTATGAGCATGATATATGAAGGGATAGACACTTATAACCTATGATATAAACTAATATTAAGAAAGACTCTAAGATACTTCAAAAAAAAGGAATATTTAGTCTAGCACCTAGTGAACTTGACAATGAGAGGTGTCCCTTCCAATGAGGAAGGTAGGTTCACCTAAGGTCTCATGAGGTTGAAACTGTGATGCAAATTATTATGAAGAAGGTCTCTAGCAACAATCTCCTAGTTCCTTCACTATGTGCCCCTTAGGAAACCTAGCTAGTGGATCCACTTAGACGCTATTATGATGTATATGTCCTACCTTGGAAAGTAGGATGCCCTCCTTTAGGGGTTAGGGGATATCTCACATGGTCGATTCTTGGTTATGACGATGTTTCCTAAAAGTAAAATTAATGAGTAAACGTAATAATATGAATACTAACAAGGATTATGTAAGAGGTAAACTTAGTGTAGCTAAATGTATGAGACTTTACCTATACATTGCACAGGTGAACCTTGAGGGGAGTCCTAGAGTTGGTTCTGTATATATTTATGTTATTAATGAAATGCAAAATGTTGATCCTATATAATGTTTATCTATATTGTTATGTACAATATTGACTACACTTATTATGATGTTATGTGATATAAAAATAATGTTTATGGTCTCTTTGCTAGTTTACTTATGTGGTGTTATGGGGATTCACATTGACATTGCACTAGAGGGATTTTATTGGGATTATGAGTAAGGTATTCTGATATATTATTGAAATGTATTCTAAGCATGAATTGTTGACTATGACCTCATTATGACGTATTCTAAAACATGAAGATAAATATGGTTCATTATTGTTGTATTGGAATGTCCATAAAGTCTTTTAAGGTGACTTAGTTTGATTTCGAACAAAATGTCCCTTTTAGCTTATTTTTAAATGTTTTACTTGCATATTGTACAAACCCATATTATCTTCTTATTGCTACGATAATGTAGGTTCGGACCATGGAAGTGTTTCGAGGACAAATCGCAAGAAGCATGAATAGATTCCAAAGTTAGTGAGTCCTCAAGTCCGAGGACAAAATCCATAAATCTAGATCTTTCTATTTGTTTAGTCTAAAGACATTGTTCTATTTCTTATCCTTTAAAGACTATGTTGTTCTACTTATGAGATATTGTAACAGTGTAAGGGCTATGTCCTAAATCTTGTACTCTTATGTTAGATAGGTATATGTGTGACAATATAGACAACTTTCGATATATGAGAAGTAGACTTGAAATTCATTGTGGAGTTTTAAAAATTCCATTTTTTTTATATTCTATTGATAATGCAATGATGAATTCTAAGGGCTTTTCAAAGGCCTCTATGAGGGTGAAGGCGCTGGTTATGACTAAGGGGTGCTATCCGGTCTTGACACTTAGCCTATTCACATTTATTCTATAAATATCGTATCGAAAGTATGTACCCAACAATTTAGGTTAACCCGTACTTCTGATCAAATCCCAAGAATTACCTCTCTCTATATTTAGTAGTCGTGTTATATTTGTTATTTTACTACGAATGAGACCACCCCCATTGCAATTTGACACTTGCGTCACCCCATCTTTGATTTAAAATGTTTTATTCATTAATGTCTTTAGCTACGACTAGTTAAAATGTGATTCTAGTTTTCTATAAGTTCTCACTACCACTCCCTTTTGAGCAAGACGCAAACCCTTAGTTGGGTTACTATATTCTTGCACAATTGTAGACACTCACACAGGAAGTGGTGTCATTGATTAATCAAAATAACAAAATGGTGCCGCTAACGGAGAGTGGTTTTACATTAGAATATGTAGTAAATAGAGTTTTAATTCTTAATTTCTTGTAGTTTTACTAACTTTACTTTTAGTTTTATTTTCGTTTGAGTTTTTGTTTTGCATGAACCTTACTCAACTAAGAGGTGGAAAGTTGATTGAGGCAAAGCGAAAAGTCGAGGTTATCCTCCTCTTTCCAAATCCTCTTAATGATAAGCATTAATCCCATAGAGTTTTAGATTTTCATTGAATTCATTATCTATAGGTTAAGGTTTTTCTACTAAGTAATACATCTCAACCTATCATTCATTCATGGGAAAGATCTTAGGATTATTGAGGTTGTTACTATACATTAAATCTCTACTCACGAAGAGTGTAAACCACAAAATCCCCATTCATGCATTACAGTTTTATTGTAAAAACCTTTCAATAAACTCTTACTCATTACATTTTCATTAGGTTAATTAATTCATTCATGTGTGTGTATGTGAGAAAGATTTTCACATAACCATCATTGTTCATTACATTGTATTCGAAACGTTATCATACTACATCAATCATAACCCACACAAAACCGTGCTTTACATTCACAACATAGAAGATCACGTATATATGTCACATTATCCTTCATATTCATTCAAGCCAAGCCACCTTAACACAAATCACCTTATTACACATAACAAACTTCACATTATACCTTTCTATATGCCACAATATTATACTACTATGATTCACAAAATTATGCATACAATGTCATGATAATAATATATACCACAAATAAGCACCGCCACCAGAAGTGGACCATTTTATACAAAAGCCATTCAATTATCGATTCTACATTAATAAAGGAATTAGGTCAACTTACCCTTCATCAAACTTATGACCACCCTTTTCTCAATTCTCCAATAATTCATCATAATTAGGCATGGATGTAAATAGATAACAACAATTCTTCGTAGTATATTCCTAATTCTAACAACATCCAATCACATTCATCAAATCCACTTTGTAAGCCAAAATCTAGGAATTTGAGAAAGCATGGATTACAAGATTTTTTTCCCTTGAAATAATAAATTAGACCATAATCTAATCATAACAATTCATTTGAAACAATTTAATGCAAGAACCCATGAGTTTGAGGAAGAATTTGGGTTTTGGTCTTCTTTGTGGAATTTGAAAACCATTTGAGAATTTGCTGTAGAGAGAAATATAACTCTTGATAAAAGATTACCATACCTTAGGATTGAAAATACCACAAAATTAGAGTTAAAACCTTTGATAATTGACATGCTTCCTTAGATCTTGACAGTTCTTCAAAGGAGGATTTGGATAGAGAGAATTCAGAGAAAAGGGAGAGCTTAAATTTTCTTTTATTTCTAATTGAGTGTTGGAGTTTTTGTTGGGTAATGGGTGTAAAATGACCAAAAATCAGTATATAATATACACACAAAGTACATAAAAAAAACTTACATTAATTGAACCTTTTTAAACAAGTCAAACTTAACTTCTATTTTTTAAATTATCACCGGGGAACAAGTCCGCGCTGCGGAGGTGTTCCCACAATTTTCTGCAAATAAATTTGTTGATAGAAGGGTCTGAAATGATGTCCACAGCGCGGAGCAACTTTTTGGTCCTTGTTAGAGCAGGTCCGCGATGTGGAGCTACTCCCTCAAGGTACTGCCAGCGAGCTGCCTTGGCAGCACTTTGTCAAAGGCTTGGGTCCTTCTCAAAGACCCTGAGGTTTATCCTTGGGGAGTCGTACCCAGATATTTTGACCCTAAGAATTTCCCTCTAGCTTCTAGGGTTATCACTACTGATTTTAGACTCAAAAATCCTCATAAAAACATAAACAACATACTAGGACACACCAACACATAAAAGACTAGTTTTCGAACGTCTTGGTTGTTCCTTGTTGTTTGACTTCAAAAATCTTTAAAACTGACTTCAAAGGCTATCTTTCATTATTTTAAAAAGTTATTAACTCAAAAAACCCACGTGAGACTCCATTTCATCCTATTTAAATATGTTGGAATTTCAATACTCTCCCACTTAGAAAACATTCGTCCTTGAATGACACTCGAACACTTAAAACAACATCAAGGTTCTAAAACTCATGAATAGAATTATCATAAAACAAATATTCATACACACAAGTTCATAGTCAATGCAGAAAACATAAAAGGAACACCAACTTCACATCATTGTGCACTCTAAGCAACACAAACAATTTGGAACTATTTCCACAACTCATAATACAAACATATTTCATCATTTTCATTGCATTATGGAGGAATTGCCTTATAGAACTTGAGACATGCTAATCATTTCATAATTTGGCTCAACATTCAATAACTTTAAAATCACACATAGGAATAACCAACATATAAACTTTTAATACAATGAAGTAAATCTCATTGGATAGACATTGATATGAGAAATATATATTAAATAGTAATCTTCCCATGTAATTATAATATATTAAAGAGCATGCAACATCTAATAAGAAGAGTACTCCTAACATAAATAAACATGCATATTCTTCATCTTAAGAAGGACTCCAAAGCATATAAAAAGCACTAAGAATTTTGCTCTCGAGCTTGAATAAAAATAGAAGGAAAAGATAAGGATGTTAACCACCTTACTACTCAACTAAGTCTCCGCCACTTGGGGTAAAACCATCTAAGTATAAATGAAAATAACCAGATGTGACGATAACTCATCATGGTCTTTATTCTCAGTTAGATCCTTTGTTAGCTTGTAGCACATAGAAACAGTTCTTCTTTTGAGCATTGCAATCGGAGCCATCATGAAGAGTTTCATTGCTACCTTCCCTTTTGCCTTGACGGTAGGAAAATCTCTCATATTATGACCCTTACTTCCAAATCCAAAACATTCATGCCTATCGGCAAGGCACTTACCCAAATGTTTGTTTTCACATGTAGTATATTTAGACCTCTCAAAAGTAGTGCCAGCCCCACTCCCTCCTTGACAATATGGGTTGGACACCCTATCCTTTCTCACCATGGGGTAATATTAATTGTAAAAACTCTTATAAGACTAAGGTTGACGTGGTTCATCCAGCCTAGCCCTCTTCCCATTTCTATTCATCTTCCAAAGGTGGGTCTCCTCAATTTGTTGGGCATACACCATGCTTCTAGACATATCCATATCATAATGGAGCATCGTTGTATGACACTGTTCTTCAACAAAACTAGACACCAACATCAGAAACATATTAATCCTGTACCTTGAGTTTGCTACCAAGATTGGGGCATATTTATAGAATTTGGTGAACTTGAGACAATATTCCTTCAAACTCATTCCCCATATGCAAAGGTTCATGAATTCCACCAACTTTTTGTCTCTCTACTCTATGGGGAAAAACCTATCAAGATAGGTCGTCTTAAACACACCCCAATCTACTTGGTCTGCCTTTATGAGTGTCTCATCCCTCCATTTCTCAAACCATACTTGTGCCACATCTTTTAGTTGATAGGCGACTAGTTCCGCTTTTTCCCTAGAAGTTATTCCAATAGCATCCACCACCATAAAAACCTCATTAATGAATCCTTGTGTATCCTCATCCTCCTTAGTTCCATGAAAAGTAGGAGGATTAATCATCAAAAAATCTTAAATTCTCGAAGCGAGACTACTTGTATTAGGGTTCACATGGGGTCCAACTCCGCCGTTAGCTTGGTCTTCATGGATTGAGCTTAAGTAATGAATACCTAAGCTTGAATCATAATAAGGGGTCAAACTTTGTAAAGCAGACCTTTTATCCACAGAGTAGTTGCATTGGGAGCTTGTGGACCGTGGGGCACTTGATGAGCAACCTTCTCATTCAAATTCCTTTCTTGAGACCTCCTTGGAGTAGACCCTCTTCTACAATTTTTTCTCAAATCATAAGAATAATATAAGGAATTTGTAGTCATACACTTTAAGGCACGATTTCAAAAATATCAAGGAAGTGTAACTTCTATCATTCTATAGACTCTCGCTCATAGATGTTTTGCGACTCACACCGATGAACAAGACTCTAATAGACGTGGCTTGTGAGGCATTGGACTTAAACTAACTCTATAACCCTATCCTCTAATACCATTTTTTTCACGACTCGAGAGTACCCCCGGGTTGCAACACAATGTATTCGACCTCACGGAGGTATCATACAATTCTCTTATCATTCATTCATCACATAGGTATTAAAAGTAACATAAAATTAAAACTTTTAACAATATAGTCAATAAGGAAACTCTTTATAATGCAAGAAGAACTAAGTCCACATGCCATGTTAGGCACACCTTATTATCATAGCGTCACAACCCTTTCATTAAAGAAAGATACTAGCGTTTTTACAAAGTCTTTAATGAAAGAAAACTATAAATAACAACCACATCATTGAATATAAGAGGACATTCCAAGAGTCTTGAGAGACAATCTAATTCTGAAGCTCCAACTCTAAG